TTGTAAAATATATCTTTATGTGTATTCGTATATATGTAAATTTTTTAACCCTATAATGATTGTTCACTGTATATCATAATTTTAACTTTTTAAAAAACTTTAACATGACTTCATGAAGTTTCAATAGCTGTCAATAAGGATTGTTTGGACAATAAAACATGATTGATTGATTGATAGGATGTTTTCCTGAAAGCAATATTACTTTACTGGCCACTTACCAACGTTGACACCCTGTATCTCGAAAACTAGCATAGGAATGAGTTGGGCTTATGGACATTTTTGATCAGCTTGACTTGAACTACATAACAAAAATTGATCGAATTTCACGGGGCCCCATTTTCCATGAGAATGGTGCGGGGTTGAATGAATCTGTCAATTACCAGCAAAGATACTTTCTTAAATTTGACACAATGATAATATGTCAACGAACGTCAACTCTCACGAATAGCAACATGAAACCATTTCTCCAGATGATTTTGAAGAACGATATAAACAATAATTTTGATTCTGTTTTTCACTAAGCACATCAAGGAAAATTATTATCACAACTACAAATTTCATGATACACTGAAATCATACTTACCATCCTTATAAAATGCAGAATGGACAATAATTAAATGAAGATGAACCTGACAGACGTACAGAGTTTTGTGAAATCATGAGTCAATTATTAATTAGTGCTAATAATTACCTCTACAATGGGTGCTTTTCTGACGAATCTTCTTTTTATTTAAATGGACGTGTGAACAGGCACAACTGCAGATATTGGAGTGACATAACTCCCCTTTGGTACAGGAAAACTCATTCACAAACTCCCCAGAAATTAAATGTTTGGGGTGGTATTCTGGAAGACCATATTGTAGATCCGTATTTTATTGATGGTAACCTCAACGGAGAAACGTTTTTCGAACTTCTTGATACAACTGTGAACCCCACAATTACTCAGTTATTTGAAGATGATGATAGTCTACTTGAAGGTCAGCTAACCGCTCAACAAGATGGAGCTTCTTCGCATTTTATTGCACCTGTACGTCAATTTTTAGATGACAATTTCACACGGTGATGGATTGGAAGGCGGGGACCAATTAAATGGCCGTCCAGATCTCCTGATTTATCACCATTAGACTTCTTTTTATGGAGTTTATATTACACAGCAAAATTCTCTTGATGATTCACACAGGAGACTTGTTGTGGAGTGTCGTGCAGTGGCTCCAGAAATGTTGAGATATATGGGAAGACATTTCGAAAATCGCTTATACTTCTGTATTGAACTGAATAGTTCACATTTTGAAGTTTTCATAAGACGATTACATTTTAGGTGATGAAATATAAGAATAACTTGATGAAACTTTGTTTTCATTAAAACTTCAACAACACTTGATCGATCCTCAATTTCAGTACACCGATGTATTTGGGCAGATTCGTCTTTATTTTGCCGAAAACTCTCAACGTGAGAAATTAGATTGACCCAACTTTGTACACATGTTGACGCTTATCGTTATGATGCACTGTTTGGAACCTTTGGTGTAGTACTGAATATTACTGGAGTCTTATCCCAAAACCAAACCGTTCAAGAGTGTCAAGGTGTTGAGTATTGGAGACATCCAAATTCAACAAATGGTGAAACATTGGGATCTTGGAAACTATAGGGAATACGAGTGGGGCCAAGGTTGTACATTTGTGACTAATAAAATGTTGTCCAAAGTTTTTCAATCCGGAGTTATTCCTGAAATATTGGGAAAGAACTGAAATCGTTTCAATTTTACTCTGACTTCATTTGATGAAATATTTTAAAACGAATGAAACATTTCCGTAGGTACTTTTTCTCAGCTAGATGATTGTTCTTTCGTCTATCGAACATCATAATCAACATCGTTTTTGTCTTATAAACCCCATAATTGATTTTTACACTATTTGAAAGCTCTCTCGAACGATGTATCTCAAGTTACCCACATTTTCACTAAAAGTGCCAATAAAAACGTGTAATTCGTCTTAATAAAATAAGCCAAAATGTAAACAATTTCAGTTTATTTTCCATAATTTCAGAAAATACTCCGAATTTCGAAGTTTTCTAAACAGCATTTTGTTGGTCGCATGATCCCAATGGTGAGAATGGATCTATAAATACCCCGTATTAATTTTTTAGTTTCTATCTAAATGTGGTTTGTAAAATATATCACCTGTTGAGAAATTGTGTTTTCCATTTTCTGAAAAAATCATCAAAAAATATATTACAAAAACTAACAGGCAATGACAAAAAACATCAATTACAATAAATTTATTAATTACAATTTTGAAATCACAAGAACAAACTATATCAAAATCAACATTACACAGTGAAATAAGGTTTTCACTCTCAGTAGGAGATCAAACAACAAATAAAAAACTACAAAAAAACAATAAAATTCATTATGTACTTCAAATAATGAAACTTTGAGAACATGAAAAGTCAATGAGCACTAAAATTATAATGGACGGAAATTGTCATGCAATATTCTGAAGACGAAATAATTTTGAGCTGTCCAGTTCTCAAAAACACGTAAAAATGTATTTCAAATGATTTTGACATCCGGAATCATTCTTGGTATAACACAATCTATAAAAACCATTAAAGGTGATAAAAAAGTTTGTATTTCAAGAGACTAGCTCATTAAAGTCTGTACCAAACTTTTGAATGATTTAATGACCTCAAAATCACCAACCAAATAAAATCCAATTCTCAACATTAATATACTACCTATTTTATATAACAATTGCTCAACAGTTGTCAGTTAATTATTGATGATTCAATTTGCAATTAACCATTCTTCTTTAAATTGAATTTGTAGATAAATCAAATGAAAACTGAACAGTGTTTGATTTATTTTGAGTCTTCAGAAAATTTAAATATAGTACGGCACAGTGGAACACTATAACATTAATTTGATTGAATCTGCTTACATTAATTAATACTAAGAATAAATTACGAAAAACATAAAAATACTTCAAGTTTTGTACCATCATCTACTGATAAAAACTAAAACTGGACACACGTATACCAAAAAAGATAAATGATATGTTTTATTCAATACAATGCACAAAACAAAATTTTCTAATATTTACACTAGGTACTGATAGGAAACATAGATTCTTATAAATATATATATGAACGGTATAAGTAGTAATGTGTACTATCCAACTAATATACTAAATTATGTACAGAAGTCTCACCCTTATAAATTCATGAAATGCAATAAATCACTCCATTTTTTTACCAACTAAAGATATAAAATCTGCTGACACTCATTGAAACTTCGATATTAAAGATTCACTATCGGTATAATATATACGAAACTTTTGATTCAGGCCATGTTGAAATTCTATAACAAAAAGCTGGAGGAAGTAAAAATGTTTTTTTATAGGAGAACAAAAAATGTAGAAAAAAACTATTCTAATACCAAGAAAGTTCGATAATCAGTTAGTTGTTTATTGTAAAAGTTTATTATTACAGGTTTTTGACCAAATTTGAAAGTCATTTTACCAATTGGTGAAATATCACGTTCATAATTTTCTGTAGACAGAAGCTGAGGAATACATTTAGCAATCAATTCAGAAACATTCATAAAAGTACATCATACATACTTATAAATATTTCAGAGAATTATACATTTTACATCAATTAGTTTCATAAAATTGGTTTTAAACAATGTTATATCGAGTCATGTTATTACCTATGATATATTCTCAATTCTATATTCAATTGGACTTGTACTGAAAGCCATTTCATGGATTACTTCTGACACGTTTTTCAGAGTCTATTTCTCCAAAATGTCAATAACAACAATACTTTCATTTGATAAAAATAAACTTTATCATCACTGGGAAAAGAACCACTGTAGAAACGACCAAATATGTATTATCTCCCCATTATATCTGCTATAGTGAATCCAGTCTTTTTTGGAGGTTTCGGTGGTCGGGACGGAGGCCTTATCAAAGGATCCTCATTCTTCTTTATGCTCAGATCACTTGCCATGTTGCTACAACTAGCAATATTTTGTTCTTGAATAACTTTTGGTGAATTTTGCATAACTGACCCGAAAATCATAGACGATTCACAATCAGGTGGTTTAAGAACGGGTGAAGGATGCATTTCTCGATTCATTCGAAGATTTTGGGAAGTAAGTGAACTTGAATGGTACATCCTCAAATTCATGGGAGGAGTCTGTGCCCTGATAGAACTATATATCGAAGAGGGTCGATCTTGATCAAAGGAACGTTTTCTGAAGGAACCAAAAAAGCTTGACTGCATTGTTTCTCCAGTTATTGTACTTGGTTTCTGCTGCAAAGTTGAATGTAGATCTCGCCTTATTTGTAGTTGTGGGACATGAATGTGTTGTGCTGGAGCAGCTTCAGGATTTTCGTTTATAATATCAGCACAATCTTCCTGTCCTGGATCAATTTCCGGATCTTCTTCCAAATCATCGTCATCATCTATATCGAGGTGTCGATCCATAGATGGTCTCATTGAATAAGGACTGGAGGATGAACAGGGTTCATGACATCGTGTTATTTCTGGTGTGGGAGAGCATACTCTGATATCTCTGTCGTCTCTCGAATCTACTGACGGACTTCTTGGTCTTGGAGACAGCCTTTCCCTTTCTACATCATCTCCAGCCATAAATTCCTCTCCTAAACCATCTGCAGGAACGTCGCCAACAGCATGTGTTAATGCATGTCTGCGTAAATCACAATTTCTTCTGAAAACTTTACCGCATGAGTTACACTCATATGGTTTGTGATCGGTATGAGTAAGAAGGTGGGTTTTCAAGTTAGATCTCTGGTTGAAAGATCTGCTACACACTGGACATTTATGAGGCGACTCCTCCATGTGTAGTATTTTGTGAACTGCCAAGGTCCTTGACTGACAAAATCCTTTTCCGCATTCCCCGCATTTGAATGGTTTTTCTTTGCTGTGGATGTACCTGAAAACGAAAATAATAGTGTTACTGATTGGTTCTTTTGTTTGGATATTATCAATAACAAATTGGAATAATCATATATATTGTGAAACTATAATTTTAGTGACACTGAATGTCCAGTTTTTATTGGCAATATTAAATTGGCAGCAGACTATTCGTTAATCCGAAAGCTATAAATATTTTGAGACATTTGAGTTATCTAATAAGTTTGTTATTGAATCTATCGACAAAGTACCGTTCATTCATTTTCAAAGTTGTACTTTTTCAATGACAATAGGTACCATAGAAATTCCTATTCTTTGTACTATTCCTATTCAGCAATGCTGCTAATAACAGAATAAAAACCGCCAAACTCATCTCATTGATTTGCGGTGAACATTTTAGAATGGTATCGGCTAATAAAATGGACATGAACGAGAGATTGTTCACTGGATTTTCTGCAGCTTTGAAAAACTGCAAATCAAAACTACCCAAAGATCAACGATTGAAAAATGTTTGTATTGTTAATTAAAATAATTAAATTGTTTTAACATGATACACCTAGGTTATAAATTTATTTTTCATAGCAGCTAATGTGACCACTGGATTAAAAACATTTTGTCAATTCTATTCCATATCAATATGATTTAAAAAAGAACAACTAAGCAGGGCCGTAGCGAAAATAAAAACCAGGGGGGGAGGGAATCCAAATTTTCCCAACCCCACCAGCAAAATTTCCCAACTTTCGAAAAAATTGGTTTTACAAATAAACTCTTCTGGATTCAATATGGGTAAATTCAGAGATGACACTTTCATATATCGACTTCTTTGGCAAATCATATTCTATATTCGTCAAAGTGATATGATTGGCTCATCGTGTTTCGTGTTTAACATCGTGTTTCGTGTTTCGACCTGAAAAAGAACGTTCGCCACTGCAGTTAGTGGCAACGAAAGGCAAGTTCCACGTTTGAGAAACATGATTCTAAGGAAATATTTGATAAAAGTTTATAAAATTACAGTTTCAGAAGCTCTTGTTTCTTGCTGTCAATAACAGTAGCTACATCTGTTTTTAGCAGTTCAGCGAACTGCACTAATTCGTCACCTAGGTTGTTCTCCAAATCGTCTTCGTAAGCACTGACCATACTTGAGGCGTTTTCCAGAATCTCTTCTGTTGTAAGGGATTTCAGCTGTCGAAATATTTCAAAACCATCTAAAATTTTAAGATATGCTTCCATACGTTCAGATAAAGCAGACATTAGTTATCAATAATGACAATAAACACATGAATTTTGAAACTTTGTCTAGGTGTTTCATTTTCAACAAAGTCGTCTTCAGGAGTATAGAGGCGGTGAAATGGTCGTACTCTGTATTCCGCTTGCATCGTCTTGAAGTCTGTTGCTGATATTCTTCATATCCGGTCAGATCTTTGGCTTTTGCCTCAATATCTGGAAATATGGATCGCATTGCTTGGACCTTGGACGAAGCTAGTACTCAAAGCAATGTCGAAACAAATTTTCTCAAGAATGGCTCACATCTACAGTGCCTTCCAAAGTTCTTTTATGTTGTGCCAAATGTAAACGCACAGCATTTTATTATTGTTTGATAGTCGATAGAAACCTATTTCATTTGATCGGGTTGTTACAACTAGCTCGTTCGATGAAAATATCAGTTTTGCAGTGCAAGTAGAACAACGCATAACTTTTGGTGTGGCCAGCGCCCAGTTTTGGAAATGTGGTAACAATTTGAATTATTGTTATATATTTTGATACCGATGTTTCTCGTGGTAGGTACTACACCTAGAATGAAACATCTTGCTCTAAATTAATAGGCAAAGTACTATAAGATTTAACGTAACGAAATCTAGTTATAGATTTTCAGGTGGATTTTTAGGTTCAGATTCTCACTGAAGCATAGCCTAAAAAAATATGTTTACACTCCTATCTAAATTGATATTTTTTACGGTCTGACAGGTATTGGATCGCGGGGCCCCTTAAGTCGCGGGGCCCATAGCATTTGATACTCTTGCTACGTGGCTAATCCGGTACTGAATAAAACGATAAAGATTAAGTAACAGTTGGAGTTACATGCAGATAATGTACCGTAAGACTGTTTATCTTGAATAGTTCTAAATAAAAGTCCGCGATAGCATATCTACCTACCTCTTATGTGGTAGCCATAATATGCAAAATACTGAGCCATAAATACAATTAAATTGGATACATTTTTTACAATGCACATTTTGGAATATCTCTCAAATTCTTATAAAAATTGATATAATTGTCGTTTTAAGTATTTCATATAGATAAACTTTGTCATTCACAATAAGTAATTTGTACGAATAGTTTAAAAGTTTTCACGATAACATTACTTTGACGCAACGCAGTAAGCCATTAGGCGTCGCGTCTACTATAAGATAACGGTAGACAATGTGCGGGGGTGGAGGGGCGGTCAAAGCAATGAAGTGCCATCGCCGACAACGCGACCCAAACGCGGGCAGACGTGTGAGGGCACACGTTGTTGACGGTTGTGTTAGTTTTACGAATTTCTTTATAGGTAACATAATTGGATTCTCGAAGCTACTCATTATTTAGTGTAGTTGGCATATTTTTTTAGTTACTGTTTTGAAGTAAAAATATAAATTACTAGCTATTGCTCGTTCTTGTATTGATTCATGTAGACATTCTTTTCCAATATAAATGTTTTCCTCAACATTTTTTGGGGCTTGACTATGCCAAGTTGATAAAATAAAAAATTATTCATGTAACTTTTTGCCGAGTTAGTATATGTACCTATAGTACAGTACAATTATTTTAATTATCCGGCCACGCATCAAATTCAAATATTTTCACTTTGAGTGGCTATTTTACTGTGTGAATACTGTTTAAAAAATCTATTTAAAATCTGTTTTTTCGGTAATCAGCTGTCGCCCCCATACGAATGACAACTCTCAGAAGTTGAGAAACTAGTGCGAGCTAATGACTAACGAAGTCCTACCTTTCAACGTGTGATTCCTAACTGTACATAAAGATTGCAAAAAACCTCTGACTTTCATCCACGAATGTAGTGAACTTTCTAGATGCATTAGTATAATTAAGATGAAAATGGTACACCATGAGTGCTCTAGAATCTGAAGGTTTTTGAAGGTTTTAAAAATTGTATACTGTTTAAAATCTGTTTTTCTGTTAATCAGAAGTTGCCCCCATACGAACGACAACTCTCATAAGTTGAGAAACTTGTGCGAGCTAAGGACGAACGAGGTCTTACCATTCAACGTGTGATTCCTAACTGTACATGAAGACTGCAAAAAACCTCTGACTTTCATCCACGAATGTAGTGAACTTTCTAGATGCTTTAGTATAATTAAGATGAAAATGGTACATCATGAGTGCTCGAGAATCTGAAGGTTTTTGAAGCTTTTAAAAAATGTATACTGTTTAAAAAAAAATCTGTTCAAATTCAGTTAACGTTAATCAGCTGTCGCTCCCATACGAACGACAACTCTCAGAAGTTGGGAAACTTGTGCGAGCTAAGGACTAACAAGGTCTTACCTTTTAACGTGTGATTCCTATCGAGAGCTTTTGGTGTCTATCAAACATGTGCCTATGAAATTAATTAAATCTCCATTAAGGGTCAGTTGTCTATTTTTTGTCGTTACGTCTGATCCTACTTTACCCCAATAAAGAATTCATTTTGAGACCTTAAAAAAACTGTGTTTTTTTCTCCACTATTTCAATTTGTTTCCACTTCTAAGGAAACAGAACGAACAGAAAGATGTTCAATGCTCATAGTAAAATATGAAAAAAAATCCTGCTTGTTGAGAACCTCGGCAATAGCCTTCTGTTGTACCTACAAACCCAACATATTTTTCACACTCTAGCGTTATTGACATAAGTTTATTGTTTCACAGAAATGCACTGGGTATTTACACGAATATCTCGACCTCGATGATTTTGGAGACTGGTTGTTTGAGAATTTTGAAATATCGACTCGACTCAAACGACCACACCGAAATACCGTGCTGTTTGAAACATCTGTTGAACGACCAGTGCACAACTAACAACCTTTTCAAAATCCGTGACATTTATTTGTAAACAGACCTTCAATTTTTTTCCATTTCTGTTAGCGAAGTTACACTTCGTTTATACAAATAAACCCCCCTGTTAAATGGTACAGTACGATCATTCCATTCCATTCCAAAGAAGAAATGAATTGAATCTTTTGGGAAAATATTCTTGGAATCATTTATCTTTATTTTTCCAGAGACTTTCGTTTAGCATAGAGAAGCTTGAAATGAAAAATGAAAAACCCGTTTTCGGAGTACTTATTGCATAACTGTTGATCGAATTGAAAAAATCGATATGTTCAATGTAGATAGTGAAAATATCTAGCAATGGATTTCTTGACAATGATTAAAAAAATGAACCTACTATGCCTTTTGGGTGTTTTCATTCATAGCATATAGAACAATACTAAAAAATAGTAGTCATTCGACACCTGGGCCGTAGGGATCAATTAGTTCAGTCACAATTCCAAGAAAACTTTTGGCACACAGCCCGAGCTTTTCTAAATAAATATTGCATACCTTTCTGCAACTCCTCAACAGCTTGATACCTTTCATAACATTAATACTGAAGAAAACCCAATGTTATCATTTCTTTAAGTCAGATGACACACCAACATAACATCAAGTGGTCCAAATTCGAAATCATCAACGTGGAGGAATAATGGTTTAAAAGAAAGTTCAAAGAAGCTGCGTATATGTTGAACATCCACGTACTTACGTTGTCATAAATTTGTTTCCATTTCAGATTACAATTTTTTCACAAATTAGCGTTCATACACTTTCAAATTAAATACCCTTCCTTTATTTCATAGGATTTTTTACTATCTTCTTTTTTTCTAATTCTCGGGAGATTTCGGTTGTGATACTTCAATATTTCCCTAACGCTTTTTAGACCGTGTTAGGAATCACACGTTCAAGGGTAAGACCTCGTTAGTCCTTAGCTCGCACAAGTTTTTCAACT